CAGTCAGTAATAATATTTTTACCTTTTGGATCTACCTAAATTAAACTTAAAATCAGACATCGCCTGCTTCTAAACATGCTAAAAACCTCGGTCACTGGACTATCTATGAGAGTGTTTGCCTCACTCTATTTAATACTTTAACTTTTAGCTTTGTCTGAGTTACGAACGCTTTCTAAAAATACAATTAAACAAAGATCAATTAATTGTAATAAATTGCTTACCTTGGTTAACGGTATTCTCACTATAGATAAGTATATGACTTCGGATTCCGTTTCACCTTCAAACGCACTGCCAGAGCGCACTGCTTTGATGCCGGTTATAAATGTCATGAGTCTCAATGAATATAAATAGGAGTTTCAATTGGGGGATTCCCCCTTCCCAGCATGGTTTCAGACTCTCTGGCACTCTGCATGACGGCTAGAAATTTCATATCTTCGGTTCAGTGCATGCTATGAAGACAGAAATACCACCATTCGATTCAGTAATAAAAGATTCAGCTAATTTCTCAGTATAGTTATAGTCATCAACATTGTAGCGATTTATGGACCTTTGAAACTCAAACACGATCATGTTGTATCAAATTACGCAATTGTCTGAAGAAAAATATAGACTAGCCATACCTTTCGCCGAAAATAACTTCGGCCCCTTCGAACATATCGTCTTTGTAATAGTCGTGTTCGAATCCCCATCAAAAACACTATCTAGAGTGTTATTTGCAAGCCTGTATCTTCAAATCAGTATCTTTTATCAATATATTTCCATTTCTTGTCCGACTGTGAGCTCGAAGTGAGCTAATCCTAACCGGAAATACGACGAAAAAACGTAAAAACAATGCGACGTTTGCATCGTATGACCCTGCAAAGGCCAGAAATGGATTCGGAAGGTCAAACTGCACCTACACGCGTGAGTTTGACGTCATCCCGGCCGTCAGGAGCTTCTTATTGGCCTGATAAGAAGCTCTTTTGACGTCAAAAAAAGTTTAATTTTGACGTCAGGAGCTTCTTATTGGCCAATTATTGCGCAATGTACGCGAGTGCGAGTAAAACCCGACATCTTGGAAAATTCAAAAGAAATATTTCTACTCGCCGTATTCAAACGAAATTTTGTACACGAAAGCGCTTGAATACAAAGAGTATTTTACACATATAGCCGTTCAGCAAATGACGAAAAGTTCAAGAGATATTCAAGATTTTCTGGATATGAAATTTAGAATC